CGAAATTTTCAACTTCTACTCTGAGGCTTATTCTTGTGACCAAGCCCCTGATCCAGCAATCGCTGTTTTTGGTTGGTCTGACTCACTTTGTGGGTTCAGTCAACAATTTAAAAAAGCTGTTCAATATGGAATGGTGTTAGCTAAAAAAAATTATTCGGTAACACTTTACAATAAGGTTCATTAGTTAATGCATTTACTAACATGAAATAATCATGAACAACACATGTACAGCATTTATTAATCATAATTGAACATTTACTGATGCATTATTAACATCAAGTCCATGCTTGTTAACATTAGTTAATGCACCATGAGTTAACATTAACTAACAATAAACTACTTTATTTTCATTAACTAACGTTTATTAACATGAATATATACTGTAGTAAATGTATTGTTCATTGTTTGTTCATGTTAGTAAATGCATTACTTAACATTAACTAATGAACCTTATTGTAAAGTGTGACCAATTATTCTTTATTTATGGAAAAAGGCATCAAAACCACTTTTTAAATCCTGGCTTTTAGAATTTTCCACCACTTTACATTTAGAGAGATTAAGACACAATCTTTCTGACAACATTGCCGGCTTCGAAGCCACCTGGAAACCCTTTTTTAATTATTTGTCAAATGCCCAGAATAACAATTTAAAGGTATAACCCTGTTATCGTCTGCAAGATCACCATATTGCTTTCGCCCACTGGCCTAGATATATATGTGTAACATTGTTGACCCATGTATAGTATTAGAGGAACTGATGTAATAATGATTTTAAAACCTTCTTTTTTTCTGTCTTATGTCCCTTTTTTTTTATTTTTTTTTTTGCTTTTTCTGTATTGTCTTTATAATTGCTGTTGCTTTTTGTATCGCTCTGTCTTGCTTTAAGGAAATAAAAATATAATATAAAAAAAAATATATATATATATTATTGCTAATACTACAAGGCATTGTATAATAATGGATAATAATCTAAATCAATTCAAATGTATTTATCCAATAAATAAATAAGCACACTGTGCTATGTAGAATAAAAAAATCTATTGAGCTAGGTACTGAAAAAATATAGCTATTATTTAAAGTAAACTGGATTTAAATTGTGTGTAATCTGCCTTTTTAAGCATGTGTTACAACTAACCCTCTGTCTGTAACAACTTGCCCCGCAGGTGGGTTAAATATTAACATTTTTACTCGTGGCACTTTTGGCAACACTGCACAGAAACCATAGGTTCGGCGATCCTACTTTTAGTGCTCATTTGTAGGAGAGGCTTGTGTTTTGTTGGTAAAAACAAATGGTTTGTCTAAGCCCAATACTTTCTTTATTATTTGACCAAAACCAAAAAGTGTTACTTTGTGCCCCACTCTGCCCTACTGTCATCCATCTAATTACAATGTTATAACAATGTAACAATGTTGTTACATAATAATTATACTGTAATGACATAATAATGACATCCAAACTAAAAGTTTGTAATTAATTCATCCGGTCTGAGTGAACGCTGGCATGATCTGTTGCCGCTGCACACCGGTAAATTTTTTAAACATTTAAAATCTCGTTCAATGATCAACATTACAGTTGAACTGTTTTAACAAAACAATTTGGACAATTCTGCAGCCAGCTTGAGTTTTATGGATTTTACCTGCTCTGCGCCTGTCCTTCTGGTTTCTGCTCACCTGCGTGTCTAAAGCCCCTTTCACACAGTGATACCGAAAAATATCCGGAAAATTTACGGAACGACTTTACCGGTATGTTCAAAAAAGCGCTGTTCACACAGGCGAGGACATCACGGAAATTTTCCGGAAAAGAGCATTCACACATCCATTCCAAAATACCGGTAAATTCTGACATCATTCACCACAAATGAGCTTTAAACGGCTGCGCTTGTATTTGTAAACATTTGACTAAATTACAAACTCTTTTGATGATCAATATTGTAAACAACTTTCACAGGATCATATTCGCATTTCGAGATGTTCATAATATGTGCGTGTGCTGCCGCTCACAGGCTGTTTCATGGGCACACGCAAAGCTTGAAGGTAAACAAACAACGGCTTATCATAAGCATCTTATCGATGATTATTTGCACAGTTGGCATTAAGGAGAACATATAAACGTTATCTGACTAACTTCTAGCAGCTAAATGCGTCTGGAAAAATATTCAAAGGCTTTTATTCTCACAAACCGCGCGGACGTAAATGCGTCTGACTGTTGTGATTGGCTAAAGCAGAAGTCTTACGTCAGCACGTTCTAGACGTGCACAAGCTTATTCCGGAAATATTCCTTCTGCGTTCACACAGCGCAGCATTCCGGCAAATTGCCGGTAATGTTACAACTTCTCTTTCCGGAAAATAGCCAGAATGAATTTACCGGTATTTTCAAAAAGGACCTGTTCACACATACAACCTTTCCGGAAAATTGCCGGTAATTTTCCGGAAAGGTCTGTATGTGTGAAAGGGGCTTAAGCTGTCAGCATCTGCATCCGCCTCTGCTTCACAATGTACAAGTTATTATCCGGCAAACTGTACTTGTGGCTTGTGTTTGCCTGGTGTTTCCTGACGCTTGTCTACCTGCCCGCGATTGGATTGTTGCAGTACTCGGCTGCTGAACTACACCGTGTGCGGCTCCATCTCTCAGCGCCTTTGCCAGCTGTGTTGCACCTCCACCCGGACATCGCATTCCTGCCCCACCAAAGATATATCCATCGTGGATCAAGACGGAGTGCTCATCAGGGCTCATCGTCACAAATAAAGTCCATTTGGTCCAATTTTCGTCGTCCTCCACAAAACACCGGTCGGACTGTCAGTCACAGAGTTTTAGCCAACCCAGCCCGGTCGGCTAACACCACTGCTGTACTTTCCGACAGCTTTATCAATATCAACTTCGGTCTTTTAAACATCCGCTCCATTACGAGCAAGGGGCATCTTGTCCAGGATGTCCTCAGTGAACGCAACCTTGACCTTCTGTGTCTAACTGAGACTTGGCAACAACCCAGCGATTTCACCCAACTTAACGAATCCACTCCTGGAGGGTTTGTTTACACCTGTCAACCCCGCGGAGGAGATCGGGGAGGAGGTCTCTATTTACCGCGAGAGTTTAAAAATCTCACCGGTTCCCGTTCCTTCATTCCCTTCATTTGAATCTATGATTTCCAAACTTTCTGGATCCACACCTACATATGTTGCCATAATTTTTTCATCCCCCCAAACTAAATAACGAATTTTTAAATGACTTTTAAATGACTTTTTTTTTTAAATGACTTTTTAAATGATGCTGCTTTTTTAACACATACTACCACCCTCTCACCCAATATTATAGTTTTAGGAAATTTTAATATTCATGTGGATAATTTTAATAACTCTTTTACAAGAGATGTTATATCCTGTCTTGAGAGCTTTGGACTTCAACAGCATGTCAATGTCCCCACACACTCTAAAGGACACACCCTCGACCTCATCTGCTGCTCTGGTGTCTCACCCATTGACCTCTCTGCTGATGAACTCCCAATAACGGATCATTTTCTCCTCTCATTTAATTTTGCACTCCCTCTTTCTTCCACCAAACCTCTCTGTACTATTTCCTTCCGTAACATAAAACATATTGATCTAGAATCCTTTTCTGCTAGTATTAACTATCTTCCTGACATTACTAACCTTTCACCACCAGATGACTGAGTTTCTCATTACAACACTGGACTTCAATATATTCTTAATTCTTTTGCACCCTTAAAAACAAGATCTGTTTGCTTTTCTCAGTCTGCCCCGTGGTTTACGCCAGAACTTCGGCGCATGAAAGCCAAAGGCAGACAAATCGAAAGACTTTCTAGAAAAACTGGCCTTACTGTCCACAAAGACATGTAAAGATCACATCACACAATATAAAAATTGCATCATCCAAACTAAATCCAACTATCTCTCCAATCTTATATGCTCCAATGAAGGTAACACTGCTTCTCTGTTTTCACTTTACAAGTCTTTCACTTACCCCCCAGACTCACTACCATCTCATCTTCACTCAACAGATTTCTGTAATTCTATTATGACCTTTTTTAATGAAACAATTTTTAATATTCACCAGCATCTTGGTTCACAATCCTTTCCGAGCATTACATCTGAACTTCCACTATTTGAAATTTTATTCTCCTCTTTTCAACTTCCCACAACTTCAGAAATTTCTAATCTTATTTCCAAATCTAAATCATCTTCCTCTCATTTAGATCCTCTCCCCACTGTTCTAGTTAAAGCCTGTCTCCCTTCTCTCATCCCTCTCATTTCAGCCATTATTCACTCTTCTCTTCTGGAACTGTAATACTACTGTCCAAACTGTCCAATACTAAAAAAACCTGGTTCAGACCCATCTAATTTTAATAATTTATGACCTATTTCTAATCTACCATTTATTTCCAAAATCCTTGAAAAAATAGTAGCAATACAACTCCAATGCCACTTCTCTCAGAACCACCTGTATGAACAGTTCCAGTCTGGTTTCCGTCCACTCCACAGCACAGAAACTGCCCTGATTAAAATCACCAATGACCTTCTTATGGCAGCTGATTCTGGACTAATATCTATTCTCATTCTCCTAGACCTGAGTGCGGCCTTTGACACTATTTCTCACAGCATCCTCATCAATAGTCTATCCACTCTTGGCATCATCAATACCCCACTTGACTGGTTTAAATCTTATCTCTCTGGCCGCACTCAGTTCATTCAACTCAAATCATTCACTTCTCAGCATTTTACAGTTTCTTCGGGTGTTCCCCAGGGCTATACATAGGTATACATTGTGCTGTAATTACTAAATTTGTTCAAAATTTTTGCCAAAACCTTGCTCAGTTACAGTCACATCAGTTTATAAGTGTGTGTGAGAGTGTGTATGTGTTTAGCTTTCCTGGTGTTTAATTGTTCAATTGATGTGTTTAAGTGTTTCATTCACTGCTGTATGCTTTTCAGCATCTTGGCTGATTTAAGGTATTTTTGATGAAAACAGGACTGGTGCGACAAAGTCTTTTTTTATTCATGTTTTTATTTACAAATGTTTTCGTTGTTGGGGCTGTGCCCTCTTCTCAGGATCTTCTGTGTCTTTTCCAGGATCTTTTCTTGAGGCTTGATCTTTTTTTCTGGATCCTCTGTTGTTGCTGTGACCTTTTTTTTAGGATTCTTTGTTGCTGCTGTGTCCTTCATTAAACTCTCCTGTTGAATCTGTAACTTTTTAGCGTCAGGAACTGTGGTGCTCATTAGTGCAAATAATCTTTCCCATCCATTTGCACTACATTCCTTATTTCTTATTCCTTGACCTGAAACATACAGACACACACCAAATCAAGGTTATTGATTCAGATTCGTCACAATAAACAAAAACCATAAAATCCATCAAAAAAAAAAAAACTTTTTCAAATTAAAAGAGAATCTATTTTCCAAATCATTAGAAGCTGATCTACAGTTCAGTACCTTAAACCATTGATGGAGAATGATTTCTTCCAGAGGAATCCGCTGGCTTGGGTTTTCCTGCAGGAGAGCTTGAATCAAATCACAACATTCTGTGCAGAACGACGGTGGGAAGAAGTGAGAGAAACACATTATCAACTTCAACTTTACATCTGCTGTCATTTTATTCATCTATAAGATCTGACTCTACTCTCCTTTAGAATCAGAACATTGTCACCATTATCCAATATCCAACTCTTAGTTTTAATCCATCATTCTGTGTGATTTAAACTACAACTGCTCGTCTATGATGTGATTAATGACGTCTTACCTTTTGACAATCCAGGCTCAGTCCAGTTTCCATCATCAATCTTCTGCGTGTCCGTGACTTCAGGAAATCGTTGACACAGCAGCAGGAATAACAGAACTCCTAAAGACCATATAGTGGATGGTTCTGCATGGTATTCGTCGTCCAGGTAGTACTCCGGTGGGAAGTACTCCTTTGTGCCTGAAGGAACAAGATTTGGTCTCAGCATGAAACACTAAAGCATGTTTTCTCTGTAACATGAAAATACATGATTGGTCAAATTGACAGTCCAGACTACAGGTGTTAAGTTTAATACATACCACAGAAACTGTCATAGCCAGATTCCTGGAGAAGAGCTCCACAGCCAAAGTCAATAAGCTTGACCTCAAGCGTGTCCGTGTTGACCAGCAGGTTCTCCAGCTTTATGTCCCGGTGGAATACCCCACGTCTGCAGCACATGAGACCGGCCGTTGTTGCCTGCTCCATGATCTTTTGAGCCTGGCGTTCAGTGATGGAGCCGAGAGACATTATGAAGTCCAACAGATCTACACATGGTGAAGGTCGTTCCAGGATCATGATGTAACGATCCTGCTGGTCCTGCCAGTCCAGCAGCTCAATGATCTCTGGAACCTTGCCGCCTCTATGAGCCAGTATCAACAGGCCGATCTCTAAAGGAAGGGGCTCAGGATGACCAGCCTAGAAGAAAGATTAGTTAGGCGGTGTTGCTTCCCCAAATATACTGTTGTCAGTGCCTTTACACGTTTAAGTCTACTTACGATGTTGATGTATTTCATGTTCGGTGGCTTTCTGGCAATTTTTACTGCCACCTGTTCAACAAAACAACACTTCTGTTATAATCACATCAAGTGCACTAAAAAGTGAACATAATATATGTTAAAGGGATTGTTCACCTCAAGGCCATCCTCCAAGCGCTTCCCTTCATAGACGCTGCCAAATCCTCCCTCTCCAATCTCCTTGCCGAGTTCATACTGGTCCAGAATGTCACCTGTTAAAAGATGAATAATTGCAGCTGATGTGAAATGTCAAGCACTGACAGACATGTGTGTAATGTTTCAGGTGGAATAGACATATGCCTATATTCAATAATTCAATACATCGTGAAAATGAACCTGCACAATACTGATATGGTGGACACTTCAAAATACAGAAAACAGTGATTGAAACTTTTAGAGTGCTTTTAAAAAATATATTTATATTTATAGAATTTATTGTAATGTACTCTACTTCATACTGAAGACGATCATGAGAGAAGGCCACACATTCTCAAATGGCCACTAGATTTACCTTCAGAACTCTTCTTGTGGATCTGAACAGGAGTCTGGTCCTCCTCACTAGAGCTGCTGCTGGACTTCTGGACTTTACAGGAGAGCAGCTTTTCAGGACTGTCAGTCCTTCTCCTCTTTCTCTCATTTTCCTCAGCAACATCAGTGGACTGAAGGCTGGTGATGGATATCGGAGGTGTATGAGGATGGAAATCATTCACATAAGAGCTGTCACAACTTCGTTTTCTCTTTTGGCCACAGAGAAAAGTCATCCACTGGTTGTCATCTGTATTTAGAGATGTAAGACATGCATTAATGATAATGATAATGGCTTATAAAATTGATTTGTATTTTGATGTAAAGTGTAAAGACACACTTCATCTTAGAGATCAGAAACAGTCATGAATTGGGTTTCTTATAGTGAATGCTCATAATTTGCCCTCAACAAATCTGAATCATACACATTTTATGCCCATTATTGAGTCCATTGAATATTGATATTTATACCATTTTTATATTTCATTGATATTATTAATAATCTGCAATTATTTAAATGATTTATGTACAATACAGATTGTTGTAAAGATTTATCTTTTAGTGGATAAAATATGAGAAACTTTGATTACCAAACAATTGGTTCTACTTAGATTTGTTTTACAAACCTAAAACAAGTTATAAAGTTATTTTTTATTGTATGTGTTCGGTTTTTAGTTACTTTACTGTACAGAGATCTAGTAAACACAAAGCATGGTCAGATTGACAAACAGTGACTGGATTTACCCTCAGCGTAAAGGGAGAGCGGCTTTTCAAAACTCTCCCACCTCCTCTTCTTTCTCACTTGTATCTCAATCTCCTCACCAACACCAACGGGTGAATGGTTCTCAGCCACATTGGCGCTGGATGTTGGAGTGGTACGAGTATGGAAATCATACACTTGAGTATCTTGAGAACAACGCTTTCTTTTCAATGCCATACTAACAGAATTCACTGGGAACACTACTATTACCAACTGCAATGAGAAGATGCAATGAGGAGATTCTGAACTGTCTTCTACTTTTAATGCTGCGTTCTTCTGTTTCTATGACAGCGCATTCCGGAACACTTGTTTACATTCAAAATCCCAACACCATATTTGACAAGCTATCTAAACTAGATATATAATAGACAGACAGGCAGATACAAGCTATAATCTTTAATCTTTCACTTCTCAAAATTAAGGAACAGTATTTTCACCACAAATATCTACATAAATACAAGAAATAAACTTGTAAATACAACACCAACTGATTCTGAAACATTATTGTCCAGGAACTTTCACATAGAAAATATTTGTTTAACACTGTATTAAACTGTTTATATTTTCCAGAACAACTGACCACAGAGTTATGGGATCAGAAAAATATCGTTCTATAAACATGTTTTGTACTTTAAATGAAAATACTTTGTAGAAATTCTGTGAATTAAACTGCACGACCCAAAATAAGTAATAATCATCAAAATGATAAGAGTTGGCTCTCTATAAAACAAAAATGACTGATTTTATTTTATGTAATATTTTTGCCTTTATGAGGAAAAAGTGTCGTTATGGATGTGACCGATGTGAAATTGCCACTTGTGTGACTTTGGTAAATCAAATATAATTGTTTGAAAAAGCTGACAGAGACATTTTTGAGCATTTTTAAAGTTCTGTAAAATACTTGCTTAAAAAAAAAAAAAACAACAGAAACGGGTTCCGTATTGTGGTAAAAACTTAAATTTTTCATGGCAAGGTTGACATTTGCATGGAATTGCTAAGATATTTTATATGTATAAGCATTAAGACTATATTTAGTGTCATCTTTGTTGGAGAGAAGAATTCATATTAATCCTGTAACGTGTATATGTGAAATATATATAGCTTTCACTATTTTCTATTATTGTTGGAAACACTCACATCTTATTACAATAACTCAATGTTTTTCCTGCAAAGACAAGTAGGAGGGAGGTGACCACCTCTATCAAATTTTGTACAACCTCCACCTTTTGACAAAAATCAGGCAGGTGATCACTACTGACAGACCCTAAGTAATGCTCAAGTGCTGGTCATGTATTTAATTACATTTAATGTTAACAGTTTTAAATAAGATCATGTTTTGATAAAATTCCAAGAATACTACAAAATGTGTTTATTTCCAGTAGCAAACATTTCATCATAACTACTAAATGAATAATGCCTGAATAGTGTCATGTGCTCATTCAAAACTTTTAATCAAGCATTGTCAGCTGTAGTCACCAAGCAGTGTTTAAAATAGTTTGTTTGCATTTATGTCTTTAAAATGTTTTGTGTATGAAATATTTGACCTCTCAGATGAGTGTCACTTTTACCTCAGGGCAGGCCTGTGCAGAGACTTTTGTCTTTTCCTCTCCGTCTTTCAAGCTGGATGGCTTGATAACCTCCTCAACCCCTGTTGTAAGTAGAAGGTGGGAGAGCTGTGTGAGAGCTCAAATATTTAAAAATAAAATATTATATATAATAAAATATTTTGAAAATACTACAAAATGCTAATCAATAGGCCTATTGGATCAATCCCTTCACCATTAAACTGGCTTATAGTGTAGTAAACCATGTTTGACAGCAACAGCGTTTCTCTGAGCAAGTTTAGGTCAGCTTCTCTGTCGACTCATTCACGTCTACTAAACATAAAACATGTAACTTTTGTTTCTCTTTGATTTTAAGTTTTATACAGAAAGTATTGTCTTGAAGATAATCCCTTTAACGCTGTAAAAATCATTCACAGCACATAATGAGTTGGAATATGATACTATATCTCTTGATTGCTACCATCTCTAAAAGTCTTATATTTCAACATTTTTGCATTTGAAATCTTCAATACTGAATGTAAAATCACGATTTCTGAAAACTACTAAAATCTCTAGTTTTAGTCATTTCTATGTTTCTTTGCAATTGTACTCTTCAACACACAATATAAAACATACGCTCTCAGAAAAAAAGGTACAAAATTGTACCTTTTAGGGTACAAATGGCCCGTCACTGGGGTGATACCCTTAAGGGTACAAATTTGTACCTCTATTTAAAGGTACAAAATTGTACCTTCTACATTTTTACCCTTTAAAGGGACAATTTTGTACCCCCAAGGAACAAAATTTTAGACACTGAAGGTACAAAAATGTACTTTTTTATATTATATAGTATTTTCAGGGTACTGACCCAGGCATTTTGATCTTTTGGTGACTGCATGCACAAATAAATAAATATATTTTTTAAGTTCACAGATGTCCATTTTTATTTATTAATGTAGAAATATTTCATTACAACTCACAATTGAATGTGTTAAGAAATAAAATTACACAGCAAGTATAAAGCAGACATATAAAACAGTAAAAAAAACAATTTAGATAACAAATAGAAACTAAATAATCTACACTTAATACAAAGACCACAAGAATACTGTTTAAGATTTATAAACACATTACACAGGCTACATCAAGTACTGCACTTTATAAAGTCCAAAGTATTTGTCATTAGTCAGAATACTCGGTCATTATAAATAATTTGTCATCAACATTTTCTCTGAATTTCAGAATGAAGGCAACGTTTCTCTATAAATTGCTTCAACAGTGCAGAAAACCAAAAACATCAGTAGCCTCTTCCTCAACATCAGTAGATTACTCCTCATCATCTTCAAGTGGAGTTGTAATTTGTTGTAACACAATATGTGTTTAAGCTTTTGATAAACATGACATGTAAGGCACTCATATCTGGAAAATGTTCTTTGATAGTCATTAGGACCACAAGTTATTTAAAAACTTTCTTTATGCATGAATGACAGCAATGTGCTGGATTAACTTGATGATTGTGATTATCCCAAGAGCATGTAGAGAAACAAAAAACAAGGTTGATCACTCTGGTAACTGGAGTAGATCGAGGCTCGTACCGTCAACTGTTCATTCAAAACATTCCACTGCAGAAACATCAAGGTGTTCTTCCAATAAGATGGATATGTCAAAAATGTATATTCGTCCACTTCATTAGCCCGGCCAATCGCAATCCCATCAACTCTGAAGACTGCCGTGACTCGTCTTGTTAACACAGTTGTCCAGTCGGTGGTGTCCTCCTGTACTTGAACTGTTGGATGTGGTGAAGATGGTTCACTGTAAATGACAAAGCAATAATTACATTAATATCAGTCACTTTATCACTGATGAAGAGAAAATCAACATGCATAGAAAGTAAAATAATTAATATTCACTGATTAAAAAAAAAAAAAAAAAGTATCACAGATTAAAAGACTAATATAAATTTCATTCATTCATTCAATTTCTTTTCGGCTTAGTCCCTTTATTAATCTGGGGTCGCCACAGTGGAATGAACCACCAACTTATCCAGCATATGTTTTATGCAGCAGATGCCCTTCTAGCTGCAACCCAGTATTACGAAACATCCAGACACATTTATTCACACACACATTTATACACTACAGACAAATAAGCTTACCAAATTCAGCTATAGCGCATGTCTTTGGACTTGTGGGGAAACCGGAGCACTTGGAGGAAACCCTCACGAACACTGGAAGAATATGCAAACTCCTCACACAAATGCCAACTGACCCAGCCGAGGCTCGAACCAGCAACCTTCTTGCTGTAAGGTGACAGCACTACCCACTGCGTCATCCTAATATAAAGAATATCAAGCATTATAAAATGCATTTATCACAGCATATACTAAACAGAAACAACATACGCACCCGAGCACAACAAAATGTTGAAGTGTCTCGCTTCACAAGGCTGGCAACATGAGAAGTGCTGCTGTAAAATCAATTCCTGGAACATAAGATGTGGCATACAAACAAATATGAAGGAATCCATACAAAGCTAGAATTTAATAATATTAATCAAGTGGAGAAAGTTTAGAAAGAGTACCTCAGAGTCAGGTCCATAGCATTCTTCAGTTGATCTCTCATCTTTCGATGAAAACCTAGAAAATTATTTTAAACACGTGGGTGTACATTTGTTTTTGTTTGTAAGTAAAAACCTACAAATTTAAAATAGTATGTAAGCCATTAAAACCATGGTATAGATAATGAGACATACTTACATCTTGTAACTGAGCCATGCTTTCATATGACATGCCTTCATTGGTCTGATGCTGTTAGGCTGCATTCTGTTGTTCAATCTTGTCCTGAAAGACAATTGGAAACTTCAAAAACTTCTGGAAAGCAATCAGATAAAGCAATAACTATTTATTTATTTATTTTGAGATATTAATAAAATAGGTAAAATAGCTCAAGGTACTAGTTTCAGAACAGATGAGACAAATTATTACATTAAAGAACAAAGTATAACTTAAAACGTCGATTTATACAACGTGGTATGTTAATAATTCTACATTAACATAAGTATAACGTTAAACGATAGTAAAGCACCAACAACTCTGGACATGAGAGTTTGTGGACACTCCTCAACATTAATGTAACTTAGACACTGAAACGTAGATATGTACAAGCATACTCACGCCACGTTTGTAACTAGCCATGTTTACATAATCAGTCGCTTTGCCGGTGACAAAATTATGATTTTTCTTCACAAAATGGCGGTGTAACTTATATAACCGTCTAAAATTACATTTCCGCGGTCAACCGTGGCTAGAAAATGGCCTCAAAATATAAAACATTATCGATAATTACAAATTTCCAGTATTATTAACAAAAGGTTTTATATCAAGGTATATGAAGACTTTAGTCGCGCAAGCTCCGGGCCACACCGCACATTACTCATGGCCCGATTCAGGTGCACTGATACGGCAGCGTCGGCTCGCTTCTGCCGCCGCATCTGGCCCGAGTTAACGTTAACGTTACAGCAGATGGACTCAGGCAGGCGAGAATCTAGCCGCAACTGGCCCGAGTGTATTTTGCTATCTGGGTTGCGATTATATTCCGCCGTGGCAACACTTTTTAATAAAGCAGTAACGTAACGTAAGATATAAGGCGCAAATATGTAACGTAGGCGATAAAGGGAACTTTTACACCGAGAAAACTAACAGCATATAGTACTCACCGTCTACAACGTTATGTCCCTCGGTGAGTTCGATATCACATTGTATTAACTTCTTTAATAAGCTGCAGACATCTTAGCAAGCTCCATCCTGCAGGCCAACGTACACCAGGCAGTCCGGAGCACTTAAAGCAGGGGAAAGCCGAGACCCGAGAGTCAGACAAAATCAACAGAACACGGCTTCACATGTAAAAATGAGACTGAAAATATATCATTAATACATTCTTAGCTGAAAAGTGTGGTCTCCAAAATAGACTTTTCTTTGAAAAGCGTGCGAAGTTCTGTGTACACAGCCAGCATACTCGACAGACCGCC